CTGTCTCGCTTTGTCACAGCTCACCCTTCCCTCTCCCCATATCCTCAAGTCCGTTCTCCAGTAGGTCTGTGTCTTTATTCCTGTCTTACCCCTAGGTTCTTCATGACGTTTTTTTTTTTTTTCTTAAATTCCATATATATGTGTTAGCATACGGTATTTGTCTTTCTCTTTCTGACTTACTTCACTCTGTATGACAGACTCTAGGTCTATCCACCTCATTACAAATAGCTCAATTTCGTTTCTTTTTATGGCTGAGTAATATTCCATTCTTTAAGACTGTTTCACAAGCAGTCAGATCCATAGATCTCTACTCATCACAGTTGGGGTGACTTCCCAGACCCCCGGAAGAGCAGGTATAATAGCAGGAATTTTGGAAGGAGCACACGAGGATAAGTGAGGGTTGTTATACTGTACTGAGAGCAAGAGAGCTAAGGAACTACACACATAACAAATTTCAGTCCTCGTCCCCTCATCCCCCGACTTGTCTCCTAGAACCCCGACAGTCAGGCTCTGTCTTTTGGACTGCGAGAAAATTTCTGTTGTTTAAGCTACCAGGTCTGTGACATTTTGTTACAGCAGTGCTAGAAAACTAATAAATGAATACCTGAAATTGAACAATCAAAAAGTCACATTACAAGAATGTCCCATAGAGCAAAGAAGATAAATTCTAAAAGAGAGGGATAATTGAGGAGCGTGGAGGTGGGAACTATTATTTTTCACAGCAAACTTTATATAACTGACTTATTAACATGAATAATTTTGACAGCAATTAAAACTGAATCTTAAAAATACAGATTTTTCTTCACTGGTTAAACAAATGTAACATATAAAGCAATTTATTTTCTGACTTTACTCTTGGAAATCTAGGAGACTTTGAATTGGTGAGCCCCTAGAAAATTAAATTCCATTCTGGATATCATATCACATTGTAATGGATGAAGAAATCATAAAAAAGCTAGTCCGAACTCTCTAAACATACATATAGATTAACTAAAGACCTACCCAAATATAAGCTGTTATTATTATTGTTATTATCATTATATTTTTATGTTCAAGTTGAAGGAGAAAAAGTTCACTGATCGTGTGGAATGTTTTCTTTTTGTCCCTGCAGATGCACATTTCATGCTCTCCCCCTGTTCTCTGCCCTGACAAACTGAACTTTATAGATTGTATCTATGAGCTTTCTTGCCTTCTGTATCAGGTTGGATTTTGAAAATGGGCAAACAAAGCAGGAAGTCAGAGGGAAGGAGGAGACTGAGATCAGGGGATTTGATGTGGCTTTGCTCCTGCTAGGATGCCTTGGATTGCTTGTGCCTCTCAATGGAAGATTACTCCTCCTCCCAAGGCTATTGATTCTGTAGGACGTTTTCCTCCCAGATTCTAGGAACTAGTCTTTCTCCACCCATTGACCTCCAAGCTCACTACTAACTCCAGGTTACTGCACTATCCTTGGTTCCCCAACTCTCACTCTTTGTAAATAACCCCTATATAAACAGTCCTTGAAGTATATCCTATTTTGAGTGTGCTAATGGAATTTCTGTTGAGCATCCAATCATATAAAATATGGTGAAATATATTAGAAATTAAACAACCACTTCCTTGCCTTCTGATTATATGGCTTATTTTCACATGGGTAGTAATTTCAAAGCTATTTTGAAGTTTAACGTGACTATTTAGGTAACAAACAGTATTTACTAGTATATCAAGATTTGTTAGCTATACAAATGGGCAAAGAAATTGCAATAATTTACTGCACATAAGAGGTGAGGTAAAACAGGGAATGATTGGGCTCTTTAATGTAGCTACCATGAAGTGTCATTGCATGAAAAGAGGAGGCATACAATTATCACGCATCATGTCCAATGTATTATTTATTTATACCAATTGTTTAAAATTGGAGGGAATGGTTTTGTCTTCAGTGTAGCTGTATCACGTGGGTAGAACACAGACAGAAAGGTGTAGACTAAGGTGGCTTTCTAAGTAATAAATTGCCTGATTTAAGTCCTTATTTCTTTCTCATATGTATCAGGGTGGAGCTTTAATTCTTAATTGAGGAAGAGTGTGACAAATATTCATTTCCACTTCACTGGTAAACTAATATAGAAGAATTAGGAGGAGTGAGATTGAAAGAGGCAACATCAGGCCTTAGAAGCAATTTCTGCTTACATTTGACCTAGTGTACTAACTTGTGTGTTCCTTCTAAATCCTAATGGACCCTGCCTTTTCTTCAAGCAAATTTTGTTCCCTGGAGAACAACTTTGCTAGCATTCATTTAGGTGAAATGTTATTTACTTCAATTCACTTAGAGATTACTGAAATATGCTCAACAAAGAAACACCACTTCTAAAAACGTCTTTAAAATGTTTCAAATCAGGTACACAAGAGATTTGGGGTAGGGCTTTATATCGTTTAACTTGTTTTTTTGCATTCTTTCTTGCTTACTTTTCCTTATTTTTGTCTTAATATAGCTCATTTTCAGATTATAAAACTGTAAAATTATTTGAAAACTATAAGAAGGAAATAATATTGTATGGTCAGGCCACGCAAGAAGGCTATTCTCTTGCTCTCTGTACATCCCCTGCCTGATAAGAGCCTGCTTCACCTACACCCTAAGCACATGACTGACCTTCCTCTGTACTTGCCCCAGGCCCAGCTAGTGATCCTTCTTATCAAAGGGGCGATGAGGGGTGGGCCCCTCTGCTGGTTTCCCTGGTAACCAATGAGCCCACCTGATGTCAATTCCCCTATAACTGGTAATTCCACACCCCCACCCCCACCCCGGCCCCACAGCAAAGACTGCTATCATGTCCTGCCAGTCAACTGTTGCATACAGTGGGGTGTCGCTCCAGGACCTTGCTTCAGACGTGTAAGCTCCCCCGTCCATTAAACCATTGATATCTCTATTGCTGACACTGGGCTCTTTCATCGGTCTTGAAGCTGGGCAAGCACAGGGCTTGTAGGCCTCTGGGGTGCAGCCCAACAAATATACACCAAATTTTATCATATTATGGTTAATACCCAATGTTTATAAATGAGACCATGCTTACACGTTTTATGTTTATTCTGATTTTTTACATAATGTTATATAGTGATAATTATGCCATTATGTACTTTAAAAAACAAGATAAAAATGTATTTGTTTCTAATAATGACAGATATGAAACTTATTTGTGAATTATAGGCACATATAGGGATTACTAATCAGGACTTGATTACATCTTTCAACATAAAGTACATAATTTGGAAGGACAGGTAATGGATTGAGGATGGGAGAGCGATGGTGCTAGTGTGTTATATCTAAGGAGATTAAGACCAATCCAATAGTATATGGTCAATAGCTCATTGAATTAGACATTAAACATCCTGTGTTGTAGGCTAGGTGCTACCAGTAACTAACTATAATGTGGGTAAATCAATCAATAGAAAAATAAGATTTTAAATGGTTGCATGCTCATCCATCCTGTATATATACCATAATTTATTTAAGTAATTCCCTATTAGACGATTTAGGTTGATTTCAGTTTGTCAATATTGAAACAAATAAGAACATGATGCATATAAATGAGTCCCTAACATGCAATCTTGGTCACCTACTTCTGAGAGACAGTTTACTGCTGTTGATACCAAGCAAAGTCTTGCTGCCTGAAGCCCATAGAAGCCAGTACTATGGCACTGGCTTTTGAGAAAAGAAAGAGCTTTATTTCGAGGTTGATAGGCAAGCAAGGAGACAGGGGGAAGGGCTCAACTCTGTCTCCTCCATCCAGGGTTGGGGTAAAATTTAAGCGGTTAGGGGAATTTCAAACTTGGCAGAAGATGATTGGCTAGTCTCTAATCAGTCCATATATGGTAATCCAGCTACTTAGGTTGCTGGAAGCTAGATTTTTCTTATTGAAGGACTTCTTGCTTTGTAAAGAGGTCAGGTGGCAACGTTTCTATTCTTTGAGTTTCATATCCTTTTTTTTTTTAAGGGTTTCTTTTTTTAATTAAGTGTAACAGGCAAAATTATTTAAGTCAATAAATTTTTAAGGAATTTCACATGTTCTGATTCTTTCCACTGCTCCGGGGTCATCCTGGAGACGTGGGTTCCCATCTCGCACATGCGCAGGGCTGTCTCTGTAAAACAACTCCAGGTTTGATTAATCAACAACGCGTGTTTAAGCTGGTCAATGTTTTACGTGTAGTTTCACTGCTGTTCTTCTGCCTCTTTTTTCAGTCCTTCGATTTTGGTGCAAATATGGAAAGGCAGTGATGCATAGTGGACGAAAGGTTAAGTCAAAGAGTTCAAGGTCGAAATTCTCACTCTTCTTTCTAGGTGTTTCCACATTGGGAATTGTACTTAATCTTTCTTAAAGTAATAATGTAAGCATTTGATGAGATTAGGTAGAGTTCTTTTTTTGTTTTTTTACTCCTTCCATGCATGGCTGCTAGATGTATATATTCTACCCCTTGAAAACACACCAGGTCAAGAGCTGCTGGGAGGCGTGATATCTGATAAGACTGGGGGATTCAGTGGTCATGTGCATACTATTGCACCCCTTTGCTGTGACGTGGTTCCTTAGTCCAAGTGCAAGGCAGTGTTATGCTGGGTCTGTCAGTGGATTAAATGCTTTTTATGTTTTTAAATAGCGGTGCAGAAAAGGCAAACCTATGCCCTAGATTCGTATTCTTTCTATTCAAAATTGTTGGCTTTTACAAGGTGGAAGGAGTTGAATGTAATCAACGTGCCACTGAAACCGTGGGTTAAATCCATTTCACCTGCCTTCACTAATCAAGGTCCTGTTAAGACTTGCATGTCCTCCAAACAGCAGGTAGCCTAGCCAATAAGATGTTTGCCTGAGTTGTTTTCTATGAACTTGGAATCAGCTGCATCTAGTTCCAGTTGAACTGGTTAAGACAGGCTCGGACCACGGACCCTTCCACTGGGCATGCGCAAGCGTCCATATTCAGCGGCCTTTAAAAAGAGCAGAGCCTGGAGCTTAGTTACGCCTGCGCAGAAAGACAATCACCGCACCACTTTTCCGATCACCTTTCCCCATGCTCCCCACGCCTGAGCCTGCTCTGCTTCGTTGTTATGCCTGCATACACCCAGTCTCCTTGCCTTCAAGGAGGTGGATCTGAGATTTGTTCTGCGGTCTCCTCGCTTGGCTGACTCCTGAGTAAACCCTCACTTAGCTGCAAACCTTGATGTCTCGGTGTTTTCGCTCACTGTGCTCGAGCAGGAGGAACCTGGTTCGGTAACACCAAGGGGCGGATTTGCCTCCTCCAGGTAGGATGCCATATCAGGACATAGTGTTGGTGTTTGTGGCTAGGAGTTGGATGTTTAGCAACGGCAGTGGCTAAATCAGCTTTGTGGAGTGGGAACTTACACAGTTGGCCCTATGGGTATCTTTCATCCTTATCACCATGAGTCTTTGTGAACCTAACCGTGCCTGCTGTGGGGCAGACAATGACAGAGGCCAGCTGATCAAATCAGAATTACTGGTCAAGTAATTCTGTCACCTTTGTTGTTTAGTGCTCCTTCTGTGGTGGATACTTTGTTGGGGTTTAATAAGGAATACAGAGAACCTCACCCTCTGTGCTCACGTCAGTGGTGGTGTCACCATGCCTCTCCCCTGCACCCTTAGCCCTGATCTTTAGGATTTTCTCTTTCCAGGCCTGGCCCAATCAGCCAAGTTTTTTTTTTTTTTTTTTTGCGGTACGCGGGCCTCTCACTGTTGTGGCCTCTCCCGTTGCGGAGCACAGGCTCCGGACGCGCAGGCTCAGCGTTCACGTCTCACGGGCCCAGCCGCTCCGCGGCATGTGGGGTCTTCCTGGACCGGGGCACGAACCCGTGTCCCCTGCATCGGCAGGCGGACTCTCAACCACTGCGCCACCAGGGAAGCCCCAGCCCAGTCTTTTGTCACTGCCTGTGTCTTAAGTGATTTTCCGTTGGGCCCCAGCACAAAGTGGTAACTAAGCATACTGTCTGAAGCTTTGCTCAATAAGAGAACTCCCCCTACTGCTGACTTCAGTGGGGCACAAGTACAGCAGCAGAACATTTTAGCCTGCTTCCACCTACCGAGCCAACCTACCTCTGAGCAAAGCTTGCTACTTTCCTTCCTCTGTCATTTGCTGATAGAGACTGCACTCTACCCCCATGTGCCCCAGGTGAAAGGTAGAGACATGAGTGCAGCAGTGGTAAATGCCATGGAGATCTGGGCCACATGCTTTTGATGTGGTGTTGCAGGGTTCTTCCTTCGTTAGCTGTCCAACTTTCTTGATCCTAGAGACGCTGTATCCTATTAACTACATCCACACCTCTTTTCAATCAGGCTTTCTTGGCCTTTACTCCAACCTTGTCTCATTAATATAATGGTAACTCTACTTGCTTCTGCTGGTTAAATACTTCCACCTGGCCTCTGTTATAAGGGGAGAGGGAGCGTGCAATCCTCATTACTATCAGTGAGCTTAATTCTATGACAGTATTACCATTGTCCCTGTTACAAGGGACAGCAACCATTGAGGTTTACAGTAATGCGTGTGTTCCTCTAACTAGTGCATTCTCTACCATTTTGGTACATAGGGTACCCGTCAGGTCCTTGTGCAGAACATAGGTAGCTAGTGGATTTTCCAGCCTTACACAGCATAGCCACTCTAACATGCCTGCTTCTGAGCCTTTTGATCCTTTCAGCATCTACCACAGGCATTTCTATTTAACTTAGTGTGGACCATTACTTTCTCTATACTTCAGGAGTAGTATGTTAATATTGTTTCCTGAGATCCCTGCCGAAGTATTATATCCTGTAACTTAGGAGAATGCCCAGAGCTTCCCCAGGCATGTTGTGACTTGGCTTTGGTGGCTGGCCATCAGATGAAGTGTGAAAGGGTACACGTGTTGTCTTGAAAGCAGAGGCGTCTGCTATAGCTTTAGTAGTTCTACCCTGTAACAGTAAGGAGTGGGCCGCTTTGGCAGGTCCAGAGAGACTTCATTGGACTCCGGAGTCTCAAGGATTTTGACTGCAGCGAAACATCTGTCCTCAAGCCAGGTCTTAATACTCCATTTTTCCCAACCACATTTGGCATAGCAAATGTGGGTTATGTAGACGGGGCTAAGAGTTAACCTTCCCTGAACTTTGCTACTTATATTGAGTTACATTGAATTGCTGGTCCAATTCATTAGCTATCCTCTCTTCCCTGGAACTCTACTGCTCTTCATAATTAAGTTGTGGGTTTCTTCCTTAGCTTTACTGCCCTCTGGCTATAGGAGATGAGTCTTTTCGTGCTACCAAGGAGGACTTCTGCCTTGCACACTTACTTTTATTCAGTGATTAGTCACCTGCTTTTTAATGTCTTCCTCCAGTATGTAAATGGCACTCAGCAAGAATTATCAAGATAGGATTGTTCTTATAACTTGCTCTTCCAAGGGACTTAAGATATATATACTGGCAGGTATAATATTTGTTATATCTCAAAAATAAGACATTAACTATTGGCAAAATTTAACAGTTGCATTGCAACAGTCTGCAACCAATGGGGTCTTATTTTGCACCTGGTTGTCAGGTGGTCCAGCTCCAAAATTCTGTTTTAGAGCCTGCTTCCTTGGACCCCCTCCAGGTACCAATAGTTTTACGGTGGTTTGCCTGGAAAACAGATTATGAGGCAGAAATTTTTATGCTGAAAATTTATAAGGGACTACCTTCAGGGTCAACATCTGTGGAAGAGTAAAGGAAACAAGATTAAACAGGGAAGAACTCAACTGTGATGTAGACCAATAGGTCTCAGTCTCTCCTTTGGGAGCTCTAGGGATGGAACAATACTTGAGATTGCTCCATCTTGAGGCAAGGACACCAGCTGTTAATATCACAGTATCACCCAGGCCCTGGATGCACACTGACCTTTAGGAGGGAGATGTGACCTCAGATAAGTATATTCTTTTCAGCTGAGAACAACTACCTGAGACAGAATCAGCTAAGAGCCATCAGTAGCCAACACTCCCAGCAGCTGGGAGAAGGTGTGCTTAGGTTAGAAGGTTAGAAGGGGAATAGGGGAAGGGGAATCTAGGTGGCACATACTACGCTCCAGAAAATGTATTTTAAGTGAGATTGACATAAGATCTGTCTTAAATACTTTGTCAAATATTCCTAGTACATATTGCTAGTATTAGTATATAATGTCATCAACATGTGAATGCACCATTATATATAAATTTATGTATGTACAGATATAGTCATAAATTTACGTGGGTCTTATGTTTACATAGTTCCAGGCCATCTGAAAAATATAATTATCACAAATCATACTATTGTCATTAGTGTTTTATAAAAATCTGATTATGGTTCTTTTTAACATAATAAAAGCTGATACTGAAAATGGAGAAAAGGAAAAGAAGAAACTTAAAGACACGTTACATTATTTGTAGTTTTCAGTATGAGGAAAAGGCAGAAATAATTCATGGTAGCCAAAGGGTTTAAAGAGAATAGAATTTTACAAATACTTGAGAGAAAAGGGAGCAAAAGATGTAAGGAAGGAACATTAATAAATAAAGGCTGGTAAGTTAATGATGATTCTGAAGGTTCTGAGCTATTGAGATCACTTTAAAAAATTCATACTGGAAAGAAAGGAATGGGAAGCTTTGGATTATTTATCAATAATCAAGGAAAATTGATCTTGGAAAATTACTTCTTAAATGCTAAGAAAATATGGTGAATATCTCCTTTAGAGAAATGAGAGTTAAATAAAAATATTAATAACCGGTCTTAAGTTTCTCTCTCTCTTTCTCTCTCTCTGTTTTAAATAATTTGTAAAGTTATAGCCTCTACCTCTCACCTCCTCCTTATCTGGCTCTGGATTTTGATCCTAACGCTGTTTCAACAGTGATTTCCATTTCTCTGAGCTGGAGGATACACTCTTCTCTTCAGACAAGGGACTCCTTCTGGCTGGTAGCCAGCCCACTAGCTGACTCTCCCACTCCCAAAATGTGAGAGATCCTCTCTTTGGCCTGTGTTTGCCCAGCCCTGGCACTGCCTTCAGGCAGCAGTTACAGGCAAGCATAACACTAAGCTCTCTAGAATTATGACATGATACGTATGATATTAGGATATATATGTAAACAAAATAATCTCGATCTCGTCATTTTTTTTCTAGTAATCATATCTGTTTGCAAGAGCTCTACATTTTATAAAGTAAACACCATCTCTGTAAGAGTTCAGTCTATTTTCCACTCTGAATTTGAAATTAAATGAAACAAAACCTTGCCTGAGGAAAAGGTGAAGTAGTCATACTGTCTTCAACTAATAATCTCAGGTTCACAGAGTACGTTTTCTTTCAGCTCTCCCTCACATCTCTGGTAAGATGACCACTGCCTGCTGTATCATATTTTACTACTACCAGTGTTGAATCTCAATGAGATGTTTTACTATAAGATCTATTTTTAACATGCTTTTTAATTATAAAATGCAACAGAAAAAATGTTAATTCATGACCATTCATATTACTCACTCTCACCTGCCCCAGAAGTACCCAGTAGAGTTTTCCTTTGCCCGAGAGGTTCCTGGGCCATTTTTACACACATCACAATAAAGAGTGACAAGCAATGTCATGAAGCCAGAAAGGCCAATAGGCTTTACATTGGAAAGAACCGTGTGTCTGGTAAACGTTAGCTACAAGCCAAGTGAATGTATTAAGGCCAAACTTGTGTTTTTCTCCCCCAATTCAGATGTTGAAATCCTAACCCTGGTACCTCAGAATGTGACCATATTTGGAGATAGAGCCTTTAAGAAGGTCATTAATTAAAATGAGGTAATTAGGGTGGTCCCTAATCTAATATGACTGGTGTCCTTATACGAAAAGGCAAGATTAGGATACAGATGTCTCAGAAGGAAGACCATATGAAGGAATGTAGAAGACAACTATCTGTGAGCCAAGAAGAGAGGCTTCAGAAGAAAGCAACCCTGGCAACACATTGATATCAGACTTCCAGCCTCCAGAATTGTGAGAAGACACATTTTTGTCAAGCCACGCAGCTTGTGGTACTTTTTTATGGTAGCCCTTGCAAACGAATACAAAAGGAAAAATTCAAAATGCTCAAATAATTATTGCGTTCTGGAAGGTAGATTGGAGTATTTTAGAAGGAAGAATGCCTGAAACCTTAGGGCAAGCTACTTGCAGTTTCAAGTTTAGGACAGAGTTTAAGAATGAAGATTGTAAGGCAGTTTGACATTTATTATGTAGGTAACCTCTATCGGCCTTTTTTTGTTTTTTTTTTGAGAGAGACTGCAGCAAAATTTTAAATTATTTTTGTATATCGAATAAATGTTCTCTGGATTAGCAGAGATTAGAAAAGCTACCAAGTACTTGATTTTATATGTACGTGTTAACAATTATTAGCTACTTAGTACCTAGTATATTACCTCTAGTCATGATGAAAGTTCCTAGGCCAATAGATGAGAAATGACTTGTTCAAGTTGACCCAGAGATTCCAGAGCTGGAGTTTAACCTAGATTAATCTGATTGGAACAATCGAGTTCTTTCTAGCCTATGTTGTGCAGTTTAAGTGTGTTTGGGAAGCAGCTGCTCGTTGTAGTAGACGGTTGTTGCCTTGCCAGGATTCCCTTTACTGATCTGAGGTCACCCATCTCCCAGGTTCTGTGAGTGTGGGCTACTAACAGCTGAAGCTAAACCATTCTTCCTAGAATTCCCCTTAGAGTGTGGGAGATAGTTTGCTTCAGGGTAGGATGGCTCTGTGGACGTTCCTCTGCTTAGAACTCCCCGTAAGATTAGGCTGGGGCTGGATTTCATCTGCATGCACATGTTGTAGGCTTCTGCCCCTTTCCTGTCTTTCTCACCCCCTTAAATGTTTCACCTGAGAATAATATTTTAGTCACTGCCTCAAGAATCCCCATCCAGGGACTAAGCTTCTCGAGCATCTAAGACAAGGTTGTAGTAACTGGCTGAATAGTAATATGAATCAAGCTTATAGGTAAATATAATACAAAAAAAAAGAACCTAGCAGCTTTTTGACATGTAGTTAAATATACATCACATCACAGGGAAACAATAGTTGAAAACACATAATCTGGAAAAAATGCTTACTGCAATCTACAATATTATGAAGAAAATTAAAAGCATTTTTTAGCATAGACTGCAGTTTTTGCCAAAGTGCATTGGTTGATACATAAATTTTATAGTTCTTTGTGTCAGGACTAGTTTATTACAAGCATAGAATCGCAATTCAAATTTTCTTAGTCCAAATGAAAATTCATTGTCATTTGTGTCTGTGGAATTCAAGGGTCAAGTTTACTTTAGACATACGTGGACCTAGAGGTTTCAGTTACTTACTTTCTATATCTTTGGCTTTATTTGCTTTATTCTATACACATATAAAGCTACCTCTGTAAAGGTAACTTTTCTAATGCCTAGGCAAGATTGGAATTGGCCTTGCCTAGGTCATTTGCTAAGGGTGAAGTAATCACTGTGTCCCACAGTATGTGGTACTCTCATTGAACAACCTGGGTAGTGCATATACCACTGCAGTGGAAAGAGGCAGGTATTGACAGCACAACTGTGGCCACACAGAGAAAGAAATTCCTAGTGAAGCCCTGAAAAGGGGCATGTGAATGTATATTAGGTAGACAAAAATACTTTTATAATAGTCTACTAGTAATGCTATTAGCAGAACATGATAAAAGATAGATTCAATGTGTTAGGAAAATGCTGGGTTAATCAAATTGGAAAGCATTTGTTAAGGCAGGACTATTCAGTTCCTTCAAATACTAATGAAAACTTTGAATTTCCAAGATGGATATGCTATAGATTATTTTCCTAAATTTATGTGAACTTGGAACCTATTTTTAATGAAGTCTTTTATGGAATCCAGATATACTTGGGTCCAAAAACAGATGCCTCTACTTATTAGCTATATAACTTTGGAAAATCGGTTAAATTCTCTGGGCCTCAGTTTCTTCAGTTGTAAAACTGGAATAACTAAGTATACTTAACATGTATATTATGAGGATTAGAGAAAATGCATTACAAATGCTTGACTCTATAAAAGTAGTTTGTATTGGGCAAGGTAGTGTTAACTTGGAGACCCTTGAATACCTCCCAGGAGTGTTAAATTAACAAAAGAGTACTTTAATCTCATTTTAACAAGCTGAGAGGTGAATGAGGTATTTATGAGGATTAATTTATAAGTTGGGTATAGGTTGACTTGCATTTGGGGTGACAAAAGAGCCAGGGACCTGAAGGACAGTTGAGAGGTTATTGTAATCAATTGTGAATTGATAGGTATCTGAACCAAGGAAACATAAGGCAGTAATGTACAACTAATAAGAACAAAGCATAAAAATGATTAGAAGACTTTCAGAATGGCCCAATTCAGCAGCTTACCGTGAGAATTTTATTTTTCAAATAGTCTGTTTAATTGAATAATGATGGATGGGTGCTAAAAGATGTGCAAAGTGTCCTCTTTTTCCCAGGTTAATAAAACAATACACTGTGAAATACAATAAAATTTCAGAAGTTTAATCATCAGTAAAATCTTCCTTTATATACAATTACTCATTTTGTACAGTTCACATTTCTGCTAATAGAATGTGGTGTAAAATAGGGATTTTACTTTATTCGGTGATTTAAGAACAGTCTTATTTTAGAGTATGTACTCAGATAAAAACCCATATTCAGTCATCATATCTGAGACAATATTGTAAAATTAAGTAGCCTGTTTTCAAATATTTTAGAGCAATAACCATAAAAAACAGAAGAGTCTTCAAATACAGAAATGCATTTCTAGGATTAGTGGTAGAAATTAAGAAAAGAGAAATTGAATTTAATATCTGAAAAACCTTGTCATTTGTGATTTTAATAGGCTTTACAAGGATATAATTTTACCTATATTTGGATCATTAGTATTTATTATAAAAATAAACTAGAGGGCTTCCCTGGTGGCGCAGTGGTTGAGAGTCTGCCTGCCGATGCAGGGGACGCGGTTTCGTGCCCCGGTCCGGGAGGATCCCGCGTGCCGCGGAGCGGCTGGGCCCATGGGCCGTGGCCGCTGGGCCTGCACGTCCGGGGCCTGTGCTCCGCAATGGGAGGGGTCACAGCAGTGAGAGGCCCGCGTACCGCAAAAAAAAAAAAAAAAAAAAAAACACTAGAAACAAATTAACAAAATTCTTAAACTTGGGTATTTGACTTACTGTAAACTGTAATAGTAATTAAGTATTTTTCTTAAGCTCATTAATAAGGGAGGATAAAAAGAAAAAGCACCCTGAATTATAGAACACAACTGCTTACACAAGTAGTTTTTTTTTTAATTACTGCTCATAGGTAAGATATTGTTTGTTGCAAAAGAGGAAAAACAAAAGCTAGAACTACCTTAAACAATAAAAATGAATGCCAAGGAGTCAAAGGAAATATTGAAAATAAGTTTCAGAATGAGAAGAAACCTGGGAAGTTTTGTAGTTTGTGTAGCTACACTATTAATGTGACTCAGATTCAGCTTGATGTACCTAACTGTAGTGATGGTGGCTCTTGTGTGTGTGTGTGTGTGGAAGGTAACGAAATTGGCCCAACTTGGGTTAGGTGTCAACCTTAATCAGCTGTGGCAGGATTCAGGGTCCTGTCTTAGAAGGATCCATTGCCTTTCTCATAGAAAAACTGGTGTGCAGACCCCCAGTAGGACACCTGCTAAATCTAATAAATTAAATCAACTACAACTTGATCTTTAAACAAGATTAGCAGAGAAAATACATACATAAATTTGTTAGCCTTAAGAATATCCTTATCTTTCAATTCCTTTGTTTCTCTAGGTAAACTTAGAGCTGCCATCTTGGTGTAGCCAGCAGTGCATCGGTCTCACAACCTGAAGGTCTTGAGTTCTAGGTAAGCTTGTTAGATGAACTTTTTACCTAGGAATCACTTTGAGCAGTCCTTATTTGGAAAAAGAAACATGACATAGTACAATATTTTGTGCTAAAAACTTTTGTTTAGTTATTGCAATTATGACTTTTAAAACATTTTCAAGTGTAATCTTAATATCAAATCCCAATTTAAACAATAGACATGGGGTTGCTTTGATTGAATTAAGAGAAGATGCTATTGGCATTCCCACTTGCTTGGATTCTCTGCTTTCCCCTTACAGCAGTCCTTAAAGTTCCATTCCAGAGAGCCATATCACTGCAGAATACAATTTGAAAAAAATCACTAGTGTAGTAAAAAGAGAGCGTGCATAGGATTTTGAATCACAGGAACAGTTTTATAAAATGCTGACTCTAGCACATCCTAACTTGAAGATGGGCTAAATCACTTAAATTCTCCAAATCTTCATTTCTTCAGCTGAAAAGTGTAGAGAATACCTATGCCATCTAACTTACAGGTTTCACTTATTGAATAAGTCATCCACAGGAATGTCTACAATGCTATACACTGTTAATTGACATTGTAATTGGCATCTATTTCCCCACCTTCTGAGGAAAACATCCAAACTGCTAGTTCATTTAAGGGCATCTCTGGTCCCCATTGACCACATGCCCATCAGTTTCAACAGTTCCTTCTCCTTTACAATAATGATGTTGGCCTCCAAGGATATATTAATCAGTGACAATCTATATCCTAACAAAACATCAGCTATTCAATTATTTTGACATCATATAGCTTACTCTAAACGTGCTAGTGGCTGTTTATCTTCTTCTGTGGTCCTAGAAGAGGGAGAAGAATGAGCATGAACAGAGAGAAAGGCTCCTAAATCACTGATTTGACCCCATCCCAGGAGCTTGTGCCATCAAATGTGAATAGCAAACTCAGTCTTCCTCTAAGGCTCCTCTGAGGATTGTTCATGGAGGTACAGAAGGGTACACCCAGGGGAGAGGGAGACAAAAGCACCTTCTTGCTAATATTCACTTGAGAATGATTATAAACCATGAAATGAGTGACAGACTAAAACTGCTTCAGTTGAGGCATACATTTTCACTCTATTTTGGACGCTGGTACTCTGACAATGTATTTTAAGCTCAGCACTTGCTTTTTTTTAAAAAAATAAAATTCTTATTCAATTGTGTGAAAGGCACTCTTCTCAAGACCGAAGCTTTTCTGTAGTAATGTTGTCTGTTTAGATTTGAAGCCACTAGGGCCCTGGCACATACAGCTGGAACACTATTTTTAAAGATATATTGTGTCTGTTAATACAGAGGTCATGATGTAGATTTTTGCACTTAGAATCAGCATGAGAACGTGGGACTGTTCTTGCAGATCTTGGCTCCATCAGCAAATAAATTAAAATAAACTGGAGGCTTGAAATAGAAATAATCCTCCTTCCAAGTGTTTCATTTAGAGAATGACATCCTGTTTTCTTCAGAATATCATGGGTAATTCTGCATATGAATGAATTCTGGAACAGAAAAGGCCCAGCAAATGAAATACGCAAAGTAACTTTTAGAATTTCAGGATTCAGTAATAAAAATAAGTGATGATGCTTTTCCGTTCAAAGTGTGAAGGGAACAAGGAAACTGAGTTAGATAAAGTTTTAAAATTTTATAACAGTTTGTGATAGCATGGTAAGCTGAATTCTCCCTATAAGAGAATATAGTATATCTTTAGTACAATTTACCATTTATCTGATAAGGAAAATTTTGACACAGTTTGGCTATGAGCTATTGAAGTCAGACCAACGTTCCGATTATAGTCATAAGTAGAAAGGTATATTTCAAAAACAACTGGACCCAAGCATCATTTACCTGGAAATACTCTGATGAGGCTCCCAACTGAGCCTCGAGAGGCTTTAACTGAAGTCCAAGGTAACTACTGTCAAAGTCGTAGAACCCCATTGCTATTAAAAAAAAAAAAAAAGTACAGTGATATAATATATTAAAAAATAAACTTCAATTTATAATCTTACAGGTACATCTTCCATTATGTCACTGCTAAAACTGACCCAGCAGTTGCAGTAGTCTTGACCCTTGCCTAGTGCCCTTATGTTGGATTTTACTACTATTCTCCATTTGAAAGGAATTGGGACCTTAGCTGACTTCCTGTCTTGAGGATAAAAAAGATCAGTAGGATCTTTTTATATATTTTAATTGCCTAGAGTTTTTTCAGACTTAACATCCTTTCAGGAAGTAGTGAAAGCTTGCACTGGAAATGTCATGGCAGTTTTTGTATGAAGATGATAGTGATAAAAAATAATTATTTTGAACAAGTTGAATCTGTAAGATCCATGAGTTTATGTGAAATTTAGATTTCACATAAAAGATTGGTCAGATGCTTATTAGGTTTTTCCTTTCTCTTGAGTACAAACTATTTTCTAGTTTTTTTGATTCTAAGTGGAGTCATAAGACTGGTTGGTTGCCACCAATGAAATGTGAGCAGAAGTGACCCCTTACCACTTCTGGGGAAGGCAGTTAAGAATTGCTCCACAATCTGTTTCTTTCCCTGTTCTGTTGACTGGATGTGAATTTGAAGCCATATATTAGAAATGGCCAAGAGTCGGTCGTACTGGCTCTCTGAAATTCTGCATGCATTAGAACCTTTTCTTCCCACAGTTGGGGGGCCATTTTGTACTTTGGCACAAGTCAGCAGCCACCAGTTAACATTTATATTATCAGTCCTCCAAGATTTGAGGGTTGTTTATTACACAGCTAACATTACTTACCCTGACTAATAATACTCAGATAGAAAGAGGTAGTAGTAATTGTGATTACAGAAGGCAATTGTGATACAAAAAACATAGGATGTAGGCAAGAACCAGTAAAGACTGGGAACTGAGTATAACACTAGGTATTTCAGAAGTAATCATAACTGATTCAGGTAAGTAGTGGTCATATCAATTAGACAGGACAAATTATACTGGGGTTGAACAGTTAATTGCATTGGTTGTCACAGTGGTTGTGAGCAACTACAAAAAAGTTTAAATATTGTGATTAAATTGTTTCCTAGGTCAGATGTTTCAAAAAAAAGAATTGATAAGACACAAAAGTCCTCATCTCCTAGGAGACGAATTTTCTAAATGATACAATTAATTATCATAAAATACGAATGAGGCATGCATACAATTTTAATAGTGCTAGCAGAACAGGTCAACATACCGTGATATTAGGGCAGTGGATCTTGTAATGCAGGTAAAACAAAATTGGGAATGGATGATATCAATATATTTTGAGATTCAAACTAGGTTTCAAAAAGCAAAACTTATATCGTTGAACAAAAGCTAATAAATTTAACAAATACTTGTTATTGAACACTCACTGATCTTCAGACTTTGTTCTCCATGTTTGGGATATGGGTGCCTACATTGTACATTTCAATAAGTTTAACTATTAAAATAAATGTCAAGGCCGGACCTTCAAGATGGAGGAGGAATAAGACGGGCAGATCACATTCCTCCCCATGAATACATCAAAAATACATCTACATGTGGAACAACTCCTACAGAACACCTACTGACTGCTGGCAGGATACCTCAGACTTCCTAAAAGGCAAGAAAATCCCCATGTACCTGGGTAGGGCAAAAGAGAAAAAAAAACAGACAAAAGAATAGGGACAGGACCTGCACCTCTGTGGGGGAGCTGTGAAGGAGGAAAAGTTTCCACACACTAGGAAGCCCCTTCACTGGTGGAGACTTCGGGTGGCGGAGGGGGGGAGCTTCAGGGCCACGGAGAAGGGCGCAGCAACAGGGGTGCAGAGGGCAAAGCGGAGAGATTCCCGCACAGAGGATCAGTGCCGACCGGCACTCACCTGCCCAAGAGGCTTGTCCGCTCACCCGCCGGGACGGGCGGGGCTGGGAGCTGAGGCTCGGGCTTCGGAGGTCAGATCCCAGGGAGGGGACTGGGGTTGGCTGCGTGAACACAGCCTGAAGGGGGCTAGTGCGCAAAAGCTAGCCAGGAGGGAGCCTGGGAAAAAGTCTGGAACTCCCTAAGAGGCAAGAGACCATTGTTTTGGGTGCGTGAGGAGAGGGGATTCAGAGTACTGCCTAAACAAGCTCCAGAGACAGGTACGAGCTGCAGCTATCAGCGTGGACACCAGAGATAGGCATGAAAGGCTAAGGCTGCTGTTGCAGCCACCAAGAATTATGTGCGCAAGCACAGGTCACTATCCACACTCCCCCCCAGGAGCCTGTGTAGTACGCCACTGCCAGGGTCCCGTGATCTTGGGACAAGTTCCCTGGAAGAACACACGGTGTACCTCACTGTTGATGTCATGCTGGCCTCTGCTACCTACAGTAGCAAACCCAAAACAGTTAAAAAAAAAAAATGGTAATAGGAACATACATATCACACATTAAATGTAAATGGACTAAGTGCTCCAACCGAAGGACATAGACTGGCTGAATGGATACAAAAAGAAGACCCATATATATATATATGTATATATATCATGACTCTTTTATCCATTTATCTGTTGATGGACACTAAGGTTACTTCCATTTCTTGGGTATTGTAAATAATGCTGCGGTGAACATTGTGTTGCATGTATCTTTTCGAATTAGTGTTTTATTTTCTTCAGATATATACTCAGGAGTGGCATTGCTGGATTGTATGGTAGTTCTATTTTCATTTTTTTGAGGAAACTCCATACTGTTTTCCACAGTGGCTGTATCAGTTTACATTCCCATCAACAGTGTACAAGTGTTCACTTTTCTCCAGATCCTCACAAATATTTGTTATTTGTGGTCTTTTTGATGACAGACATTCTGACTGGTGTAAGGTGGTATCTCATTGTGGTTTTGATTTGCGTTTCTCTGATTAATGATGTTGAGCATTTTTTCATGTGCCTGTTGGTCATCTGTATGTTGTCTTTGGAAAAATGTCTATTCAGGTCTTCCATCCATTTTTTTAAATCGGGTTGTTTATTTTTTTGATGTTGAGTTGTATGAGCTGTTTATAGTTGTT